AGTAGGAGGGAAGAACAAACAACAGGAATGTGGTGTCAGTAGGGTGGATGCTGGGGGATGAGAAAAGAATCTAAAGAAGTAGAATTGCTGGGGGAATGAACAACTCCATTTTCTGGTTCTCCAGACTTGGGGTTGGAGAAACTACATGGGACAATGCTCTACTCTCCATGACATCTCTCTGGTGGCCTCCATCTATGCCATTTTGTTTCCTTATTTCTCCACCATCACTTATCTGATACAAACTTTGTGAAAGAACTTTGACAAGAGCCACCCTAGCATTCCCAGTAATAGCTGTGTTTCCATGTTTAACTATGAGTCAGAACCATAGACAGCTCCCTGGGCCTAAACCTTTCAAAGCCCCCCATAGAAGTTCCCTAGTCCCAACTTGTGCAGCCTCCACCCATGTCATCCCTAACAACCTAACAGCATGATATCACTTCTTTCCCTGCCCAGATAAGGGTTGATTCTTGGTGTTATACCCTTTCCTGGGGCAGTACTTTGTATTCTCTACTCCTTCATGAACTCTGCAAACATTCAAAGCTGGGATACTTCTTTAAAATGTTCAGCATAGTCCTATACAAGACTGAAGAGTCTGAAAATTGCCCTAGATAAGAGTGATGGAGAAACAGGCTTTGCTGAATGCTGAGACTTTGGCTGGAAAATGTGGTCACAGCAGTCAACTGGTAGTACATAAAAAGAAAGAAATTTTCTAATTTCCTTTGGTTGCTATTTATTATCTTTTGGGCCAATTAGGTAATTTTATTAGAATGGCTTCTTAGAAGTGATCATAGAAGTTTCCCTAAATAAAAAAAGTCTATTCTATTTAAATTTCAGTTGTCTTTTTAAACAAGATACTATAGACTCATCTTGAAATTTATAATCTAAAAATAGGATTTCATCAAAATACTGCAACTATTCTATTCTGAGCATTGATATACTATGTATTTACTAATTATGGCTCATCAAATATGGTAAACACTATACAAAATGCATTTAAATTTATTGGTAAGAACTGTCTTGTGAAAAGGAAATTATATGGAAAAAATATGAGCTATGCATCTTTTGGAAAAGTAACTTAGCCTGACATTTGTGAGAGACAACAAGACATCACAAAATCAATAGTGACATGATAGATATATACAGGTTAAAGAGGATCATTGAAGTCAAAAGGAAGCGATTGTCAGTGACTTGCAAATCTTTTCCTGGGCAAAAACCAAAATCCAAAGAAATCATAACTTCAGAAACTTGATATTATACATTGTTGTGAAATCTTTTGCTGGAGGTGGATGAGCAGAGCTTCTGTGTCCTTGTGGACTTTACCATGGGGCTCAGTCCTCTACAAAGGCTCACAATGAACAGACACAGGCTTTTTGACTGAGAACCAAGCAGAAAACCTTAAATTGTTTATCTCCACAATAGGAAAGCAATGTGTATTGGAGGCAGATAAAGATGATGCTGACTTCTATTTGGACTTTAGGAGTGAGACTCAATGGGTATCAATACAGAAGACAGAAGATTTGAAAACAAAGGGTGTAAAGATCACAGAAAGACGGGGGTAGTTTTGATATAAATCAGATGGACAAGAACAGCCAAGGTGGCTAAGATACCTGCATGTCCTCTTTATATTCTACCCATATTCTTTTTGATTAGTTCTACTGTATTTGTTTCCAAGGTGATGAAAAGATAAATACGACCTATTTGTGTTTCATTCTTATAAAAACCTCCAATGGGGTGTTTCTGAGTTGCTCCCAAGACACTAATTCAGTAGTTAAAATGCAGGGCAGCCCAAAGTAAGGTTGGGATGCTTTTGTGGATACCAATGTGAGAAAAATCCTTAGGCTTTTGTTACTCACTCTTTCAGGGTTTATTCCATGTACACCAGATCTTGTGACTGGTTACTTCTAGAGTGGGTTGGGTTTTTGTAGGTCAGGGGCAACACACATGTCCCAGCATGATGTAGGTGTGAAATACGGATGTGGCTACCCGTCTGCTCCAGATAATAAATGTCACAGGCCTTTTATTCTTCCCTCATAATGCCTCTTTGTTTCCTCCTGTTTCTGGAAGATTGCCTTTCATGACCTCTGCTTCTCAGCATGTGGCAGGGTTTACTTTAGATAATTTCAACAACTCTCTTTTCATTGAACAGATTCAGGGACCTCTGCTTCCTTCCTCCCATCTCCTCCTTATTTCACACTCACTTTGACAAGGATCTTGCAAGATAGTCAACTATTAAAAAAAGCATTTCCCCGTGATGTCTCTTTGGAAAGCCATAGTCTCTTAAATCACACTTGTAGCATCAGAAACATCTTCTACTGTTGTAGAAATATGTGGATCCCCTAGCTCTCCTCGCTAGGAATAGCCTGTTGTGATACTGAGGGCTGGAGAGTTTGCTCAGTGTTTAAGAGCGTCTTCCAGAGGATCCAAGTTTGATTCCCAGAACCCACATAGGGTGTCCCAAAACTGCCTGCAACTCTAACTCCAGTGGCTTAGTCACCCTCTTCAGCCTCCTGCAGGCACCTACACACACATGCACATACTCACACACACATACACATAATTGAAATCAATAAGTGAATTTCTATGCTAGTGCTAAGGGGTAGAATGAATTCAATTGTTGACTTTCAAAAAGAGAGATAGTCATCTTTAGGAAAGTTTGGGTTGTTTCTGGAAAATCAATACCTTAGACACTATGTTCATAACCCTAGACCTGCAATGTGTGCACATGATGGTGCTCACTGCTGGGTAAGCAGCTTCTTTCTATGTCTCTTGCATAGGCCAAAGTGGTGGTATTTACTGAGAATACTTGAAAGGTGTCACATTCTTCCTCTTTCCATGACATGATGGAGACATTTAAGACCCTGCAGTTAATGCCAATCTTTTTATAATCAACAAAACTGATGTGAAGTGCTCTGCATTCTCCATCCCACCCCTCAGAATGCAAATGACTTGAGGAGGGTCTTAGATTTCAGCCAGGAAGTAACTGTACCTAGTGGCTGAAAGACAACATCTAAGCCACAACTCAGCTCTCAAGGTTTCCTGTGTTTCTAACTTTCCTCCTAGTTATACATCAAGTTATTAGAGATTACTACAAGCTGGCCCTTTGATCATAGCCTTTATACTGAGTGAAGATTCCATTTTCCTCAGTGTTTATTAAAGATTAATATAAATCATTTATTTGCAAAACATTTGCCTGTCTTTGAAAGTTTATCTTGAAATGTTTTTACAATGGTGTTCATATTCTTTTCTCAAAGGACTTTAGTGATAAATGTGGTCTCATAATAAATCCAAGGAATTTATCTCCTCTCTTCTTTTTATTGTGTCAGCTACAACTCAATGTATTTCATGTTTGCCTCATTCTTATGATACCCGCAATGTATGTCAGAATATGTACATCATGATGTAATGGTTGAATTTTTATTGATGATTGATTGATGAGCTAGAATTCTAGCCAGGAATCCCATATTCTAGAAGTGGTTCCTTCTACAATTTTTTAAAACAAAATGAAAATAATGCAGTTCAGATGGGATTAAAAGGATTTATTAATTTTCATCTTATGTATATGATAGTTTTACCACATGTACATAAGTGTACTGCATGGTTGCATGGAACCCTCAAAGGCAAGAAGAAGGTGTTGTAACCACTGGAGCTGGAGTTATAGATGGTTGTAAGCTGCCATGTGGGTACTGGGAATTGAACAAGAGTCCTCTCTAGGAGTACAAAGTTCTCTTAACTGCTGAGCCATCTCTACAGTTCAACAGATGGGATTTTTTTTAAATAAAAAAGATTGTAACATGTTAACTAGCTTGATGAATGTTAGAAATGAGCTCTAAATGGAAAAAATTAATTCAAGGAACATGGGCTGACAAAAACTATGTTAGCGACATGTCTCCCTTTGCCTGGATATTCTCTGCTTAGGGATGATGATATAGGCTAAATATTAAAGTGATCTATGTCTAGACATGAACTTTGATGCCCATTGGCTTTAATTTTGGCAACTAAGCCATACCTATTATTGTTATAATTATTGTTTTTTATTCATGCAAGATGATAAATAAGGAACCTAAAGTGATAGAGAGCGAGTAGCTCCTCAAACCTAAAGATTTTGTTGAGTGTTTTTTTTGTGTGTGTGTGTACTTTTTTATAATAAAAATCCATTTAAAAATTCAGAATTTGATCTAAGACCCAGTTTCATTACTATTACCTAATATAGAGATTATTGGGTAGTAGCTAACCATTCTACAATTCTCACTTCCATGGCTGCCATTATCTACGAAAAGCAATGAAAAGATTGTGATCAAGTGAATAGACCTGGGTTTGTTTGAAACATTCTACCATTGGGTAGTTTAAAAACAGTTTTCTTAGATTACAGGTCATGACTCTTTTGTGTCTTAGGTAACTATATCTTTGTGTCATAAACATGGTTTTCATTTACTTCAGTTGCTCTTTAACAGTGTCCATCTCAAGTCCTTTTTGGAAGAAGGTGGAAAGGCCTGAATGAATAATGAAAACAATATAGCATTCCTGTTGGGTTCTTTGGAGGTGGGGAGCCCATGGCTTTTCTTTTCACCTGTGACTTATCTTGAAGTCATATAAACTTGTGCTGGTGAGACTTAATCACACCACTAGAGAGGCCCATGGAAGGGGAAGGAAGCACAGAGGACAGTGTATGAGGCTATACTTCAGTACCACTTTTCAATCTCGCCTCTGAGATCCCTTTGCCTGAACAGATTATTCCTTTTGATACCCAGTAAGGGATGGGACTGATGCAATAGTGCTTTACCTTTAGCTATGTAGACAGAGTTCTTGGAACTAACAACCCAGAGAGAAGCAGCATGACCCAAACTCAAATCTAGTCTCTCATCCAAACATGAACACATGTGTTCCTGAACACCAAAGGAGAACAAATGTCACGAACTGATGGACACACCACACCATCAGATGGCTGCATCCCCTCCAGGAGTTTCATTCTGGTCCAAAGTGAAGCAAAGGAGTCTAGTGACTTAGAGACTTAGTAGAAACTGATCTTGCTCTGGTGGTTTTCTCACCCAGGTGCCAAGACCAGCTTTCTGAAAAGCCTTGAAGAGCTGCTGTTTAACAGATTGGTAGGTGTAAGCCCCCAGCTTGGCCTCACAGTACATGGACGGTGTGTCTCCATGGCTGGGGATCCGAGTGCTTAGCTGTGGAAAAAAGGAGGAAGTGAATTCAACCTGTCACAGTAACATGAAAAGTTTCACAAGCAAAATACTACTTGATTTCAACCTTTGGCATCTCCTTCTCCTTTAACAGTACAGTGGCAGGGCCTGAGGAGGTGGTTCTCTTAGTTAAGTGCCTGGCTGTCAAGCATGAGGACTTGTGTTAGATCCCTAGAATTCATGTCAAAAGCTGCATGTGTTGGTTTGCACCTATAATCCCAGCACTGGGGAGGTAAAGACAGGCAATTGCCTGAGATTTGCTGGCTAGCTAGTCTAGCCTCTTGGTGAGTTTCAAGTTCAGTGAGAGACCCTGTATCAGAAAATAAGGAGAAGCAATTGAGGAAGACACGCAATGTTGACATTTAGCCTCCAAACTCATGTGTGCATGCACTCTCCCTCCTGTATGCATAATGGAATATACACAAATACATATGAAAAAACAAACAAACTGAAGTGCAGTTATCTGAGTTCTATTGGAAAATTCTGTGACAAACCCCATTGTTAAGGATACTTTGCTTCATCAGAAGTGCCTGTGATTAACAAATGTATAACATGACATATGACTCACCTCCTATTAAGAATTTAACACTACTTTCTTAGCTAAGTGTGATGGCACACACCTGTAATCTTGTCACTTTAGAGGTTGAATAAGGAGGACTGCTGTGTGTTTAAGGCGGGCTTGGGCTATACAGGAAGACATTGACTCAAAATAAACAAAACCCCAAAACTCAGCAAACCCCAGAAAGAAACAAAATAGCACCTATAATAAAACCATTGCTTTTTCTATTCTTTCTGGAGAAGGATTACCAGGGTAGGATTGTGTGCTAAGAGCATCATGGCAGGCAGGAGAGAAGAGGGGCTTAGTTATGTTGTTCGTTAACTAGAAAGGCAGTAAAAGTGGGATGTCATCGCGTTTCTGAGTCATAGGAGGCAAAAGTTGGAGCAGTGTAAGGCAGGGAGAACGTATCCATTTGTGTCTTCAATCCCCCAACAGAAGGACAGAAAGGCAGAGGGCAGGCCTGTGGTAGGGGAGCTTCAAATAACACTGCAGGGCCTTTCCAGAGGGTTTGTGGCCAATGCCACCATGATCATGGGAACAAGAAAAGCACCTATTTGTTCAGCAAGACAAGAAGAGCTGTGTTCCCTCAGGCCTTTCCAAGTCTTTGGGACAGGTGAGACATGGGGAAGGGGGCCAGAGTAGGCATGACAGAGGCAGAGAGTTCTGAGCAGAACTGGAGGATATGGTGCCATACATCCACATCTGCATGGTTGCAGCAGAGGCAGAAGGTTGCTGCCAAACTCTTAGGTGACTGCAATGTTCAACATTCTCTGAGTAGAAAAAAAATGCTAAAGTGTTTGTCTATCTGCTACTCTACAGATTGATATGCCAACCCAAACACTATTATTGGGTGTGCATGCCATATGGGTGCAAATAAGTGTGCAGGTGCACATGGACACTGGAGGCCAATCTCAGGAGTAATGGTCTTCAGAAGGTGCCAACTTTGTCCCCCATCCCTTCTCTAAGACAGGGTCTCTCACTGGCCCAGAGCTTGCTGATTAGGCTAGGCTGGTGGATAGCTAGCTCCAGGAATCTGCCTGCCTCAGCCTCCCCCAGTTTGGGGACTAATAGGCCACCATGCTCCGTGTTTTTGCGTGGTCTCTGGGGCTTTAACTCAAGTCCCCATGCTTACATAGCAAGGGGTTCCTTGGCTGAGCTGTCCCAATACAAAAAAATGGACACAATACTTTTTCTTCATTAGTTTACTTTTATCTATATTTTATTATAGTCGGCTATGCTTCCAAAGTACATAAAAGCCACATTTGAGTTTTAACCCCCCCAAATGTAGTTATTATCTATTTATGAATGGAAAGCAGATTCTGAAACATTGCTGTAGTAGAAATGGGTAGCCTTCTGGGTTGGGGAAAATGTTAGTTCTGACAGTCACCACTGAAATTTAGTGGGAAATTACCTTATTCCCTTCCCTTTCCTCCCTTCCTCTCCCTCTCTCCCTCCCTCCTTCATTCCTTCCTTCTCTCCTCCCTCTCTTCTTCTCTCCCTTGTGTGTGTGTGTGTGTGTGTGTGTGTGTGTGTGTGTGTGTTCATGACACAGCATGCATTTGGGAATCAGAAGGCAACTTGCAGGAGTCTGTTCTCTTCTTTTACCATGTAGGTCTTGAGGACTAAACTTGGGTCCTCAAGCTTGGTGGCAAATGCTTTTATCCATTTAAGCCACCTTGCCAGCCCTTATGTACTTTCTGAGGTGTAGTTTCTTTGTATCTGAATTTGGAATGATATTAAATTCTTTTTCTCTTTTTGACATCTTAAAAAATTATTTTATTTTATGTGTACTTGTGTGGGTGTGGGGGAATATATTTGCACCACTTGTGTGCAGTGCCAGCAGAGGCCAAAAGAGGGCAGTGGATTCCCTGAAACTGGAGCTACAGAAAGTTATGTGTAGTCACGAGATTTCTGGAACTGAACCCTAGAGGAGCAAGTGTACTTAGCCATGGAGTCTTCTCTCCAGCTGCTTTATGTACCTTTCTTATGACATGCTCCGTAAACCAATTGGCACAGTGCCTGGTGGCATTAGCTGGTCCAACAATAAGCTCTTTTGTTGCTTGACTTCACAAAGACTCAGTCCACAAGCACTGAGGACCACATTTGGGTAGCAAAGCTTCAAGTGCTTGGAGGAAATTCCTGGGCAGTTAGTTGGAGAAAGGGCAGTAACCCTGGGGATCAGTTTGCACGTCCTGTCTCACAGTTACTGCAGACCAAATGATGTCCCATTTGCCCGGAGCTTCCACAGGGTTTTAACCAGAGCCCAGGCACAGCTAGTTTTCTTCCCAGAAAGGACCGGTGCGACCTACCCTACCATGCAGCCGTGCCCACCGAGCAGAAAACACGTGCTTGCAGAGCCGGGATGAGCCCCCACAGCTTCTCTTGCCAGTTGTGGCATTAATGATCTCCAGGTCGGCACTGCCCACGATCCAGTTGGCACTGAAGTGGGGAGACTTTCCTGGCTGCCGAGCCTCGGCGTTACTCACGCCTGTCAAGAGAGAAATAGGAGGCAGTCAAGCATTCATATTCTTCAGCTCAAGCAGGGCTCCCGTGAGAGCAGATAATGGGAACTAAAGCTTGTGTTTGAGCTTGGATGAGACATCCACATAAATACTGTCTTGCTTTTCTTTTTTAAAATTTAGTCACGTTGAAGTCATGGTTTTACCTGTTTGACTGGATATTGAAAACCAAGTTCAACTCTGGTGACAGCCTTGTATTGGAATTCATTGCTGAACCCTGCTGTTAACCTTTTAATTGGAAGGATTTTCTGGGTAGATTTTTTTCCCTCTTCTGTGAATGTTTGTTGAATGGATTAATGCACAAACAGAGACGTTTGAAAATTCTAGGAATATGAGTTTATTGGGCACCTACTGAATACCCAAAACACAGGATTAGCAAACAATTCCTGAAAGACTCTTAGGCTTATGGTTTGGTTATGAGGAAGAGACCCTGGATTTAATAAAGGAGCCATGTATGTAGGATAATCAATCAAACAATTCACTTTCGAAGAGCATTGAAAAGATACAGCAAAATGAGAACACGAATCCCTTTATTGCAAAGTTAGTAAGAATTTCAAGCCAGGTCTGGTGGTGCAGGCTGAGGCAGGAGGATCAAGGTTTGCCTATGCTATAAATTGCGTTCAAGGACAGCTGGAATAACTTTAGTAATATCTTGTTTCCAAATAAAGAAGAAACAAGAAGAGGCCCAGGGATACATAGCACAGGGGTAGAGCACTCGACCAGCACATGCAAAACCACAGCATCAATTCTCAGCACAGCAACATCATTTCTCAAGGTGACAGCGTAGCATTAACCAAGCTTGGGTTTTTATAAGCTATGGTCCCTGTATGCCTCGGTGGGTCTTTTGACCCCTGAAGAACCTGGTATTGTCTAGGAAGCTTCCAGAATTTTCATGAAAAACCTCATTTTACAGTGCACATCTCCTTCCATATTGGACCATGTACTCTGATGTTCAGGTGGGACATGACCCTTGAACAGCAGAGCAGAGGAGAAAGTCAAGACTTTCTCTATTCTCTGCTCAGCGCTATTCTCTGCTCAGCATGGACTTTCATATTTCTCACCTTATACTCTGAGCTCCAGCCTCGCCCCCTGCCTGGCTGTCTTGCTGTGCTCCTCCTGATGATCAGGACGTCCCGGAAATGTTGGGTGAGCTTTCTGGTAACTACAGTGGATACCTGCCCTCCCTGATCACACCAAGTACCCAACCCAGTCAAGAATCTGGTGATTTCTCATTATTCGTCTCTCAGCTGCTTTTGTTGAAGGCTATGTTTGCTGATCCATGACCTCTGGGGAGAGATCATCTAAATAAAAACACAGTTTGGAGACACATGGCTCAGATGAATAAAGCCAGATGGTTTCCACAGCAACCCTATGCATAACCAATGGCACCCCTCCTAAATTCTGTGGTATCTATGGTATAGCCCAGTCTTTGCTTAAAGTCTCAGAGATCCACCATGAAAGGAAGCAGACAAGGAATTCAATCTCTGGTCTGGACACTTCAGTCAAAAAGCCCTTGTCAGTTGCTCTCTCTCTCTCTCTCCATGCGTCTTGCACCCATCTCTCATCCCCCACAGCTCCTATACCTTCACCTGCATACATATTGCAGCTTCACAGGAACTGCCTAAGTTCTGGTCCAAATGCAGCCCAGATGGACGTCTCTCCTCTTGTCTAGTTTTACCTTGTGAAGGTCAAACCTGTCACCTATCTAGTCCTGCATGCCCTCTTCTGTTTCCCTAGCCTTGAACGCTGGACAGATGGACCTACTAACAGACATGTTCAACCCACAGCCAGCTCCATGTGACCAAGGATATAGCTATGAATGCAGTCCACCTCAAAATCATTAACTTACTGTATTAATCCTTTTTTTTTCATTGCCGTGATAAAATGCATGACAATAAGCAATTTAAGGAAGGAAGAATTTTCTTTCCTGGCTTAGAGTTGGAGGGAACACATGATGGAGAAGGCATGGCGGGCAGTAGGAGTGGGAAGCAGACTGGTCATATTGCTTCTATAGACAGAAAGTGGAAGGCGAATAGAAAGTAAGGTTGGGCTATGCAATCTCAAGGCTCTACTTCTTAAATGTCCCACAACTTTCCTAAGCAGCCTTAGACGGTGAGAACAGAACACTGAAACACATGCGTCTATGGGGGACATTTCACATTCAATTCACAATACTCAAAACGTAAGCTTGCTATTTATTTGTAACTTGTGTGATTCTCCCACATGAATTTTGTAGATGAGAACACTGAGTCAAAATTTCGAAAGGATGGACATACCTGGGAGCTTTTCTTAGGTCTACCCATTTATCACAGAAGTGTGTGGAGCTGCAGGGAGGCACTGGAGCTTTTTACAAGAGCACTGTATTTAGTCCAGTGGGATGGCTGCTCAGGAGTCCCCAGGATGAGCTACATTTAGTAGAGAAGGCCTTGTGTTGGGAAGCAGTAAAGGTATAAGTCACGGCTGGAAGGGCACACCGGGAGTTTAGGGGCTTATATTCAACTCCAAGTAAGGGAGTGTTTCCCATCTCAGTGGAAGATCTGTTCACCTGAGAGTTACACAGTCACAGACTTCAGGATCCTCCTGTGTCCCCAGCTCCACCTCTAATCTTCTTGGATAGAACTGAGACATTCTCTCTCAGCACATGGCCGTTTAGCTTTGCCAGTTGTCACCTTAACAGCTCAGCTCTCAGACTGAAAGTCACCCTGTGACCTTCTGGTCATGGCTGGGCAATGTTGGACATTCAGGCAAATTCCATCCATGTCAGCTCTTTTCCCTAGAAGTGGTTCACTCTTGTGGCTACCCATCCCGAGAGCTGAGCAGGGGAAACAATCTGGCACATTGGCAGCCATGGACTGTCCTACTGGGCAGGGACCATCTCGGCAGGAAGAGACAGCTGCTGAGGTCAGGGACGACTGGGTACAAAGAGATGTGATCACTGCTTTGGAATTGTGGGCAGTCAGGCTCAGCAGCCTGGCATCTCCTCAATCTCAGCAGGCTCCTCTCTCCTCCCCTCTCCCTGTCTCCCATCCCTTTTTTTTTATTTAGAAACAATTATTTTACATATCAATCCCCTCCCCCATTCCCTCTCCCTCCTATCCCTCCAAGCCCTTACCTCCCCCCCAACTACCCCACACATGTTTCCCAAGGATGCTGAGGCCTTCCAGAGGGGATCATCAAAATCTGTCAAACATTTGGGGGAGGGCTTAGGCCCTCCTCCCCATATCTGGTCTGAAATAGTATCCCTCCATAGGGAATGGGCTCCCAAAGTCCATTTGTGAACTAGGGATAAATACTGGCTCCACTGTTAGAGGTCCCATAGCCTTCCCAGGCCTCCTAGCTGGTACCCACATTCAGAGGGTTTGGTTCAGTCCAATGCTGGTTCCCCAGCTTTGCAACTGGGGTCCTTGTGCTCTCACTGGGTCAGGTCAGCTGGTTCTGTAGGTTTCTCCAGCATGGTCTTTACTCCTTTGTTCATTCCTCCTCCCTGTCTACAACTGGATTCCAGGAGTATGGCTCATTGCTTAGCTGTGGGTGTCTGCTTCTGCTTTCATCAGCTACTGAATGAAGGCTCTAGGATGGCAATTAAGGTAGTCATCAATCTCATTACAGGGGAAGGGCATCAAAGGTGGTTTCTTCACTACTGCCTAGATTCTTAGTTGGGGTCATCTTTGTGGATGGATCTCTGAACATTTCCCTTGTGCCAGATTTCTCTTTAAACCTATACTGGCTCCCTCTATTAAGATATCTCTTGTCTTGCTTCCCTGTCTCAGTCTTCCTGATCCCTCTTGTTCTTCTCCCCCTCCTCTTCTCCCCTTCTCTTTTTCCTATCTCCTTACCCTCTCCCCCCTGTGCTCCCAATTTGCTCAGGAGTTCTTGTCCCTTTCCGCTTCTTCTGGGGGACCATTATTTTTCTCTTAGGGTCCCCCTTGTTTCCTAGTTTCTCTGGTGGTACAGATTGTAGGCTAGAAGTCCTTTGCTCTATGTCTAATATCCATATATGAGTGAGTACATACTATGCTTGTCTTTCTGTGACTGGGTTACCTCACTCAGGATGGTTTCTTCCAGTATGTCCATCCATTTGCCTGCGGATTTCAAGATTCCATTGTTTTTATTCCCACTGAGTAATACTCCATTGTGTAAATGTACCACATTTTCTCCATCCATTCTTCAGTTGAGGGGCATCTAGGTTGCTTCCAGGTTCTGGCTATTACACACAATGCTGCCATGCACATAGTTGAACATATGTCCTTGTTGTATGAATGTGCATCCTTTGTGTATATTCCCAAGAGTGGATCATGAGGTAGACTGATTACCATTTTCATGAGAAACTGCTATACTGATTTCCAAAGTGGTCTTACAAGTTTGCACTCCCACCAGCAATGGAAGAGTGTTCCTCTTTCTCCACATCCTTTTCAGCATAAGCTGTCATTGGTGTTTTTGATTTTAGCCATTCTGGCCGGTGTAAGATGATATCTCAGAGTTGTTTTGATTTGCATTTCCCTGATGGCTAAGGATGTTGAACACTTTCTTATGTGTCTTTCAGCCATTTTAAATTTCTCTATTGATTCTCCATTTAGTTCTGAACCTCACTTTTTTAATTGAATTGTTTGGTGTTTTGGTGATTAGCTTCTTGAGTTCATTGTCTATTTGGGAAATCAGCCCTCTGTCAGATGTGAAATTGGTGAAGATCTTTTCCATTCTGTGGGCTGCCATTTTGCCTTGTTGACTATGTCCTTTGCCTTACAAAAGCTTCTAAGTTTCAGGAGGTCTCATTTATTAATTCTTGATCTCAATGTCTATGCTAGTGGAGTTATATTCAGGAAGTGGTCTACTGTACCAATTCATTCAAGGGTACATTCCACTTTCTCTTCTAAGAGGTTCAGTGTGGCTGGATTTATGTTGAGGTCTTTCATCCATTTGGACCTAAGTTTTGTGCATGGTGATCGATATGGATCTATCTGCAATCTTC